CCCTATCGTCTCTTCACCACGACGACAACCTCTAAATGATAGAGTTCACAAAATGGTTGTCATCACTATCTTGTCCGGAGGTCTTAGACATTGGTTCAAATGACTGGCTACGGTCTTGGACATGGGTAAAAGGCCTTTTGGGTGGTGTCAAGTAAAGCATGAGGTTCTACATCTTTAACCTAAAACCAAAGGTTCTATGGTTTCGACTAGAACCTATCCTACCAACAACGGCCACTAGCATCGGCCAAAAACCACATTTCCCTTCTTCCAAACTACTACCAATCATGAACTACATTCAAGCACACTTTCTCAGATCCAATTTCCAAGCATAGTAGTGAAGGAGGTCAACAAGAAAATGTTTGGAGGTGGAACCCTTTTATCGTCTTTGTTTATTCTATTCATAGCCAACAGGTGTAACTTCCCTGGTAGCCGCTAGCAGCCTTGGTACTCCAACCGCCTTGGGTCCTCATTGTCGCCTTCTGTGACAATTGGTGTAAGCTTGACGGCCTCTCATCTTGTTCTAATCGGATGGGGTTGAGGTCTCCTCGCCTTGTCTCCAACACATTTTCCCTCCCATCGGGCCTCTTTGACAACTCTGATAGCCCTGATGATTCCATACATAGTTGATGTCGACATACTACAATCTTTGTCTCATTACCTAGCCCGCTCTTCGGCTTGCCATCCTCATCTTGTTAGCTAGGTCTTGTTATCCATCATGATGGGATAAGAACTTAACCCCTTTACTCACCAAGTCTCCATATTTAGTCTTGGAGGGATTGGTTTCATCTTGTCGACTTATCACTTGGATGACTTACCACCAAGTCCTCCTTGTCGACTTGCTTGTAGCTACCAAACTTGTTTCATCGGCTTGCCACCAAACCCATGTAATCAACTTGACACCTTGTCGTCTCACCAACTTGATACCCCCTGCTACTAAGCCAGCCCTGTCTGCTTGGTCTTCATACTTAGTTTTTGGAATCTCATCAACTTTGTACCTTGCCACTTGGCTGGCTTGGTACCCTGTTAGGGGTCACCAAGCCCCTCTTGGCGCCATCTTGATCTCGTTATCTTGGTACCATAGCCGACCACCCTTTACTTTTTAGATTACATACTTAGTCCTGATGATCTAGGAATTGTCCATGACGACTTGGTACATGGTTGGTAACTTAATACCAAGCTCATTTTACCGATTTGATCTAAATTTGCTTGGTTTGATCTTTGGGGCTGTTGTGGGTCATCTTCTGCTTCCTCAGACGAATGACCACTCTTCCCAGAGTTACTACCATCTCTTGACAATGTTGAACTCCCATGATCACCCGATGGTGAACTCGAACTAGAATTTGAGCTTGACAATGAGGAGTTATCCCTCCTTGAAGTCGAGCTTTGCAAACTGGAGCTGGGCAACGAGGAGGAAGAGACGGAGCCTGATGCCAAATCCATCCCTCCTTGAGTTCCCAGTAGAGAGATGAGAGAACGACCAAACTCGGGCAAATATGTTAACCAATCGAGGCTAGTGATGGCCGATGAGGAAGGATCATCCCTAGTACGTGAAGGAGAATAATACATGGTGTTTTCAAGAAAGAAAACATGGTAGGCTATGCACATTCCTTTCCTAGCTGGATTATAGCAACAGTAGCCTTTATGCCTAACACTATAACCCAGGAACACACACTTGACGGTCTTGAGGGCGAGCTTATGGTGATCATTCCTCGGTAGAAGGAAAAAACATGTACAGTCGAAGACTACTAGTAGTTTGGAGACTTCGAGTATAAGACTTGATAAGGAGGGCATTGATCCCATACAGGTGTAATCTGACGATTTATGAGATAAACAATTGTGTGGACAACTTCCACCCAATAGCCACTTGGGGCATGAGAGTGAAACAATAGGCTGCGTGTTAATTTCAGAACATGTCGATGTTTGCGCTTCACTAAACCATTTTGCTGCGGAACACCTGGGCACGAGAATTGAGAAATAATACCGTCCGATCTGTAGAAGTTCAGCAACTCATATTTCGTGAACTCGCCACCCTCATCCGAGCGAAGAATCTTAATCGTCTTACCAAACTGTGTCTTGATAAGCTGCACAAACTCTTTAGCAATACACCACAAGTCGGTCTACTATCGAAGGAAGAACACCCAAGCATACTGTGTTTTGTGATCAATAAACAAGGCGAAATATTTGTAACACAAACGCGATGTGACCGGGAAAGGTCCCCCACAAATCCGTATGAACAAGATCAAACGGCTTAGCATACAGTGCATAGCTAGCCAAAAAAGAACTCTGAGAAGCCTTAGCTCCATACAACTAATACAATTAGAACAAGATCCAAAAGACAAATAAAAAATTCCAGGCAATAAATTATGACGAAACATTGTTAACAATCTCGTAAAGTGCAAATGACCCAAACGACAGTGCCATAAATCCCAAACATCCTTATTTTTTAAACCAACAGAATTAACAGAATTCGCAAGTATAGATCCAATGAAAGAATCGCCGAACTTCGAGTCTTGCATAAGCGAGGTAGTTGCCATAGTCCCTCGAGCAGCACCATGATTCCCGAGGAGATGTCCTAGCTCGTCTAGCACAATGACCCTCCCTTGCTTACTTCCTGTCCCGATCACCATCACCGTCCTTTAGTCCTGTACCACACAACCGGCTGAATTAAACTTAACATCATGCCCATTCTCAGTCAATTGCTCGACGAACACAAGATTGGATATTAAACCAGGAACATATAAAGTGCTCATAAGGGTAACCGATCTTGTAGAAGAAGTACCCTGACCAACAGCAACTACCTGATCTCCATTAGCAACCCGCAGATGTATATTCGAAACAGGCTCGATCTTATCAAAGGAACTACGAACATGGTTCATATGATTAAAGGCACCAGAATCTAATAACCATTTTGAAGACTTACCAGTGAGAGAACTCGTAGCAAAAGCAGCTTCTTAAACCAGCTTGCGAACGAAATCCGGAGAGAAAGCCGAGCTACCACCGCCTAAACCTGGAAACCCGGGAGATGGAGCAGAAGGTTGAGACACAACAAAAAGCAGCACCTGGAGCCTTAAACGAAGGACGACTCGTTGAGGACGACCCACTAGCAAAAGAACCATATGTAGGGAAGCAAATCTTCCCCGCTTACTCAACGTGGGACACTCCAGGACAATGTGACCAACTTTGCAATAATTGCAATAATTTTGTTTCTTATAGTGTACCCCAACTTGCCCAAGTTCGTGACGGTGATGGCAGATCAAATCTCCACCCAAAGGAGTCCCGAATTGAGGTTTATGCAAAGCACCTGACCAATAGTGAAAGCCGAATCTGGAGTCTGATTATCAATATGGGACTGACGTTTTAGTCTCGCTCCTCACGAATGAATTCAGCAACCACAACATCAAGAACAGAAATCCCCTGACGAACTAAGGACCAACGAATGGGCTCGAAGTCATCATGCAACTTCATGAGCAATTGCATGACCCGTGTCTGCGAGTGCTCCTTCTACACTTCAGCCGAGGCATCACCGGACAACATAGAAGTAGTGATCAAATCATATTCGGTCCAAAGATGAAAAGCATGTTTGTAATAACTACGAACATCCCGATCACTCTGAGACAAGCCTGCAAGTTCCAATTCGAGTTCATAGAGTGGAGCAAGATCGACCTGAGAGTACATACCACTAGGGGTGTCAGTTTGGGTCGGGTTTGGTTACCCGAACCAAAACCCGAAAAAACTCAAAACCCCAAAATTGAAAATCACTGAAAACCAAACTCGAACCTGATAATGACTTGCGGGTTTCGGTTACCCAAAACCCGAAAATTCCTTATCGGGTCGAGTTCGGTTAAAGAAAAACCAAAACCCGAACGACTAAGAATACGGGTTGAGTTCTATTCATTGGAGGTTTTCATCCGGAACCCGAAAAACCAAAAAGAAAAACCGAACCTGAAACCCCAAATAAACCCGAAAAACCGAAAATGCATATAATCGGGTTGGTTTTGAGTAAACCCGAAAAATCGAACCCGAATGGACACCCCTACATACCACATATATGTTTCCACATCTCATGAGCAGTGCGGAAATGACGAAGACTAAGCGAGGTTTGGACATCAACAAACTCCAATAACCACGTGACGACTTGAGCATTAGAGGATGCTCAGTGGACCTTCTCCTTCTCACTCACCTCAACAACGGGTTGCTTCAAATCGCTCGTCAAAAAAGACGACAACCTCTTCCCTTCCACAAAATTTCCGAATTGAAACCACCACAGTGGAAAATTCTTTCCATCAAACTTAACAGAGGTTGTATCCAGCTTATTTGAATCCATACCTATTGAGCTCAAACCAAGGAGCACAATCACCAAGAGAGCATACCTTAGGGCACACTTGAGGTCGGCGAAAATAGATGAAGTCGCATGACCATCGAAACACAAAGCCATAGCAAAATCAAAGCAAAGAGCACAAACAATGAGTTTAACATGGTTTCCCCGATCAACATGACTAGTCCACGGGAGATGCAAAGCTCTCCAAGTCAATCTTATTGTCTTGTTAACCTGTAGATACGAGATACACATACATATATAGAGGTTTACTTAACCCTAAATGCTAAGGACTTATATGTACAATTACATAATGATACTTATATTTTCAACAATCGAGGCCATGAGGCCACTATGTCACGAAAAGGGCGTTTTAACACTTACGTCCAAAAACTGAACCCAATAAAGCTCAGCTAGCTCATTTAATGATTAATCTTGAGCTAGACTTATAAATCCATGAAATCTCTTGTAATAAATCAATGTGATATGAGATTAATTTTTAGGATAAATATAATATAATAGTCAAACCTTTCATTTTAAACAAAATAATAGCAAAATCTTTCGAAAAACAAAATAATAGCCAAACCGTTAACTTTCCATCCAGTTGACCGTTAGTTGACTGTGATGTAGAAAATTAATTGTTGAGTTGGAAGATTATTGATGATGTGGCAAAAAGTTCATTGTTTGACTGTAATGTACTTTATTAATTTCAATTAAATTATTTATTAATATTTAAAATAAGAAAATAAAAAACCTAATCTAACTGCCACAGAAAATATTTAGGCGCATCCCTTCCCTTCCATCTCCTCCTCTGCTCCAACAAATCGCAGCGACGTCACCATAGAAGTCCCTCAACATAGAAGTCCACCATAAAGAAGTCCCTCAACAAATCATAGATACGTCCACGATAGTAATCCCTCAACGAATCGTAGCTCTGTCTCCTCCTTCCCTCCAACAAATCGCAGCGCCATCCACCATAGAAGCTCCTCGCTGGCTGGATCCCCTTGAGAGCGAGAAAGGAGACTCGCGACATGATGGGGCTTCGAGGCCGAGGAGTGTACTACCTTACTGGACTGGTGATGAAGGCATAGTAGGTCAATTAGAGTAGGGTTCATGAAAATCAATTTGAGAGAAATTTTTGGGGTATAATTGAGAAGTAGGGGAATAGGTGGGCGACAAAAGCATGGATTTGAGGGGGAAAGGAAGGAGATGGGTGAGGGAGGAAAGGCGGTAGACCATTTTCGGTGGAGCCCTTCACTCTGCATTTTGTTGTGCTCGTCGACGACGAACATAACAAGATCCTCGATTTCGACGCTGTTGTCGGAACCGAAGGGGAATGGCGAACGCCTCTGAGGATAGGAGTGGCAGAGGCCATTTGATTGTGGTGGCGACGATGATGATCGGAGACATGACATAGATTGGCGATTGCGGAAGTAGTTGACAGAGATCCATAAACTACCTCCTCAATCTGGATGGTTGCGGGAAGATGTGGCAACTATTGGGGGGTTAGTTAGGATAAAGTGATTTTGATGGTTTTCTCTTTTTTTTTTCCTAAAGCTAATATCATATATTATATTCATCTGGCATAATAATGTGTTTGATTTTTTTGCCACATCATCAATAATCTTCCAATTCAAGAATTAAATTGCCATGTATGTCAGAGTCAACTAACGATAGGGATGACAACGAGTCTGGTCGACGGTGGATAGTGCTTATCCATTATCCTACCCAAAGTAGTTCAGGTTTTACCCATATCCATACTCACATATGAATCATGTAGAAAATCAAAACCATGCTTATACCCGTTCGGGTTTCGGGTATCCACGGTTATCCATGGATAATAATTGGACTTTACAATTACAACCAACATATTAACATTCACACGTATACTCACATTATGTAAGTGAAAAAGTACGACAATAATTCACTAGAATGAAAGAAATTAGTTTCAAACAACACAATTTCATGAAAATATTATATATGTATGCTAAATATAAAATATGTTGAGAAAAATAATGATGATTTCTAGAAAAAGTATATAAATATTTATAATCGGGTGGGTTCGAGTTGGATAGTGAAAAAATCATTCCCACTCATTACCCGCAATATTCGATTTCAAATTTTACCCGTACCCACTGAAAATCGTTCGGGTTCGAGTTTTACCCTAGATGATTAGGCCAAATTCAGGCGGATATCCACGTTTTTGGATATTTTTGCCATCTCTAACTGACGATCAACTGGATGAAAAGTTAAAATGAAAGATTGACTATATATTATATTTATCCTAATTTTTAAGTGTAAGCATAAATGATTGAATCACAAATATTCTACCATAAACTAATCTGATATGAATTCTTGTACGATTTTCAATCTCTATCATCATGCTAATAAATTAGATGTTAGTTTGTAGTTGGCAATTGGCACCCTAAGACAATCCACAATGTGGGTGGGTTTAGGGGAAAAAATGGGAAAGTATCCCACAACGTCGGTGGGAAAAGGGGAGAAGATGGAAAAGTTGGGAGAAATGGGTGTGAATACCCACATGTAGAAGAAAAAAAAGGGAGGAAGAGGTGGGGGTGGGGCCGAGTCAGTTTGTTTTTTGTTTTATTTTATTTTTTGTTATTATTTTAATGGTTTAGTGTTTGTTTTTAGGGTTTAGTGTTTATTTGTTTGTTTTTATTTCTTCTTAATTATGTTATGTTCAACTATCAATGTAACAACTTTCTCGTATAAATTATTGTGATTTCGTCATTAATGACGTTAATTAGTGATGAAATTTTTTTGGGACTTTACTACGGTGACATGCACTTTTCGGTCGACCTCATATAGGATTAGGTCGACCTAATCTGTTGTTTCAGTGTAAAAGATGGAGAAAGGGAGAAAATTGAGTGGGAATACCCACCACTAACAAACAAATGGTGGATGCAAGAGAGGGAGGAGGGTCCCATTGTCGGGCCCGCATATAATTTGTTTTTTAATTTTTTTGTTCTAATTTTTTTGTTTTAATGATTTTCTTTTATTATGAGGGATTTTGATTGGTTTTATTCTCAACGAACAGAATTAATGACGTTATATTTAATTAGTGATGAAAAAAAATTATGTCTAAATTAAAAAAATTATATCGAAATATTCGTACTAATTAATTATCACTAACTACATAAAAATAATGATAATTATATAAAAGTAAAGTCAGAAAATTAACTGTAAATTGATTTTAAGTTTTTAATAACAAAGTGCTAAACCAATTAGTAATTACCCACTTTTTCCACCCCTACATTATGACCAAAACATCTTTTTTTCTCCCTTTTCCCTCCCACCCTTGGATGGTCTAAAAACAACTTCGAGAGGTTATAAACTTAAACGCGTAGAGCGCACGCGAGTCAGTCAACTCCTACACCCCGCGCGCGCACAGGCACAGCAGCAGAGCAGGACGGAGGGGAAAGAGAGACATCAGACGAGGGAGAAAGGAAAGGTAGAAGAGAACTCCCCGAAGAAGAAGAAGGCGACGATGACGATTGATGTGCCGACAACTTGGCTTTCTTATTAATAATACCATAATTATCCGGTTTAGTGATGGCAATGGGGCGGGGAGGGGCGGGTACCTCAATTCCCATGCCTCGCCACACGCTACTACGGGTCGGGGCGGGTAAAACCCGCGAGGGTACCGGGCGGGGCGGGTCGACCCACTATTACATGTTGTTCAAAAAAAAAATACAAGTAAATTTTACTTTTTACAATAAAACGTAGGGAAAAACACTTTAAGAATGAAAAATATTGATAATAGAATGGATAATTGAGCCTAAAAAGTTGAAAGATCGACTCTAACTAGTTGAAGAAAAGTCAAAATAGGAGAAATATGTATAGATATTGTAAGAAATTGAGATAAAATGAGTCTAGAACGGGGCGGGGCGGGACAGGGCGGGTCGAAAGTAGATACCTATACCCCGCCCCACGTTACTGCGGGTCGGGTAATACCCACCCATCGCTGGTCAGGTCGGGTAATACCCTCGAGCAGGTTGAAATTGTCATCACTATCCGGTCTCTCATTATTTAAAAAAAAAAAAGTGTCCAGTCACCGTTGTCTAATCGAGGGTTCGGTTTTACACCCGTTTCCATCCTCCACGTCACTTTCCTTTTCCCCCATTCCCTTCCTTCCCTCCCCTCTCCTTTGTTCAACTACTCGCTCTCAGTCTCTCTCTCGAACAGGTAAAAATTCCCCGTTCCATTTCATTTCATTTATTGAATCTGATTTCCTGATTGAAATCTCAATTTGTCTGCTTTTCCAAACTCAACCGATTTGATCTCCTCTTTTGTTTCTTCTCTCCGTTAAATAGAAACACAGAAATTCAACGCTTCTGAATCAGGCACTGCTTCGGGATAAGAAACAGGTGAAGCTTTATCCCCCTGACCTGGGTTTATCTCTTCCGTTGTATGTCGTTGATGGGATATGGTCAAGTTAGCGAATTGTTGCTGTCTCTGACTGATTTGAGTTGTGTTTTTGCTGACTTGTTGGGAATGGCAATCGGCGATTTCAGATCACAAGTTTCCTGAGCTAAAACTGGGATTCGGTTGATTCTCTTATCTATTTGTATCGGAAGAAGCAGAGGGACTCGATGAGCTAGGAACTAGTGTTGGGAGAGGTAGTTGGGGATAAATTTTTTGTTTTCTGTTTGTCGTTCTTGTTTCTGTCCCATTTGTCAAGAACCGAATTTGGCGTGATTTCATTGTTGTTGTTTGTTTGGGAACTGGGTATTGAAGGCTGTTTTAAATGGGTGAGGCCTTTTAGTTGGGTGAATAATGCTGCAAGTTGGAGTTTGATTGCGAAGAGGGAAGTTCTGTTTCCCACTTTCCCTATGTTTATATATTGATTGATTGATTTGGTTTTTGATCAATTAGTTTCACATCCGCACTCCCATTTTCTGTTGCTACTGCTAAGGTGTAACCACTTAGCTCCAGTTGACTGCACGAGCATTCAAGTTCCCCTATTGATATCTCCTCACTGTAGGCTTCAGAGTAGATTGCTGCAACATATAGTCACCCAACAGGGTTATTGAAACAAGAAAACATCCAAGTTGTGAACATTTTCAAGTCCACCGGCTCTCTCTCTCTTGCCCTCTTTAAGATGGAGGGAAATTCTGGCGGTGGAGGCAGCAGTGCTGGCGGAGGAGGGTTAGCATCTGCGGGGGCGGCAGCAGCCTCAGGAGCTGCTGGTGGTGTAGGTGGAGGAGGGAATGATGTTGAGCTCATGTGCAAGACTCTTCAAGTTGAACACAAACTGTTTTATTTTGATCTAAAGGAGAACCCAAGAGGCCGGTACTTGAAGATATCTGAGAAGACATCGTCCACCAGGTCTACTATCATTGTCCCTTCCTCTGGGATTTCCTGGTTCTTGGACCTCTTCAATTACTATGTCAATTCTGATGAGCATGACCTCTTCAGCAAGGAATTACAGTTGGACACTAAGGCAACTCTCCGCCATTCTACTTACATTACTACATCTCTCGGTCTCTCTTGCTCTTGAGTTCCCTTTCAGAATTCTCTTTTACTCATGTGTTGCCTTTTGTCTATTATGTTGCAGGTGTTTTATTTTGATATTGGGGAAAATAGAAGAGGGCGTTTTCTCAAGGTATAACTTGGTACTCATTCTTGTTTACATTTCTCATAAAGATTTTTCTTTCTAAAAGAATTCCTTTTGGGAAGGACTCCTATTTTTTCCAGTCTTTCTTGGTATGCTATGAAGGTCTAATTCAGAAAAAAAAAAAAAAAAACTTAAAAGGAAAGGGATGTGGCAGTTTTATTTAGTCGCTTTTCCTGTTTTAAGCTGTTGAACATTTATAGACTGGGATATGCATTATATGTGTTGCCCCTACTGTATGGTGAATTTGGAAGTTTGAATTAGTTTCTCAATACTGGCAAAATATGTTAGTTTTGTGAGCTGCCAATCAGTAGCGTGGCTGTGAAAAGAGGACAAGTTAGTGTATTGGTTTATCCACAAGATTAAACTCTGAAAGTTTGCAGTAAATTTTTTGGATTGTTAATTAGAATCGTAGTTTATCACTCTGTGTTTCTGCAGGTCTCTGAAGCTTCTGTTAGTAGAAACCGCAGTACTATCATTGTTCCTGCTGGAACTTCTAGGGATGAAGGTTGGGCTTCTTTTAGGAACATCTTGGCAGATATTAATGAAGCTTCAAGGCTTTACATGCTGCCCAATCAGGTGACTGTTTAATCTCTTTACTGTTACAAACTACACCCGGAGAAGGGTCAGAGTTAGACAAATCTCACATGTTCTATACCTGTGCGTATGTTATTACAAGCAGCAAAACTCTGAATCTTCAGAGCGCCTAGTTGGACTTTCTGATGATGTAGGCGCTGGCTTTATATCCGGGCACAGCAGTCAGCAGGCTGCTCCAACTTCTGAACTAAATGTAGACCGGGCAGTTGACCTGCCAACGCAGGATGAGATCGGCAACCTGGGAGTGTCAAAGGTTATCCGAGCTGATCAGAAGAGATTCTTCTTCGATCTCGGGAGTAATAACAGAGGCCATTTCTTGAGGATCTCTGAGGTGAGTTAGCTTGAGCAGTACTGCAAATTAATTCTATTGACATTGGAGCTGATGGTAACAAAATTTGCAGGTTGCTGGTTCTGATAGGTCCTCTATAATTCTTCCACTCTCTGGGCTGAAGCAGTTTCATGAGATAGTGGGTCATTTTGTGGAGATCACCAAAGATCGAATCGAGGGGATGGGGAGCGCCAATGTCCGAACTGTAGATCCACCTCAAAGATGAATGTCTTTCATGTGGTGGTTTTGTTTGTGGAAGGAGAATAAATGCTAAAGATGGCTCCGTTTGGTGGCAAGGGAACATATATAATCATTGGGATTCTTTTGGGATTGTGGTTTTTTTTTTTTTTTTTGGGTGTTGCAGGATGGATGTAAATCCGTTGGATCCTGCTACTGGTTCTTGCTGTCGAGTAGGGTAAAATCTGGAGATTTTTTTTTTACTTGGTTCTGAGTTTTACTTTGGTCACAACTTGTGAAACAATAAATGGTGAATTCCAAATGCAAATAGCCCTGCACCTTCCTTTTGCAGCTTTCCTTTGCTGTTTCAGACTATTGATGCGGCCACAAACAAAGAATTCTTCCAATCGTCGGCTTCCAAGTTATGAAATTTTGTCAATCAATCATCAAATCTATCTGAGAGTCAATGTATAGCTGAATTCGAAATCTAGAGATGCAATCCTACGCTGTTATAGAGTCGATCAATTAAAGATAAAATCTTTGCAAGAGTGAACAGAGAACAAAAGATCCAATTTCTACCAAGAATCGAATGACATGTTTTTACTACACAAGAAGATATCTCTTAACAACATGCTTCCCGGCGACAGCAGCAGCGGCGGCGATACCGCCAATAGCACCAGCAATCGCCGCCGATCTGGGCCCTCTAGCGGCTCGATAAATCGCCCCAGTTCCAAGCCCAGCAACCACGGTGTTAACCAAATCATCCTCATCCCTCAACGCAACCAAGCTGCTCTCGATCCCGCTAAACATCAGACCCAAAACTCCTACGGTGTTGCCCAACCGCCGACCACTGTGCCCGCCGGAGTTCAAAACCCTGTTCACCCGCACCTTCATTCTGTCGCTGGCCTCGGCCGCCTTGATCCCATCGAGCGTCCCCTTCGCGCCGCCGACGATCGCGCCGCCGAGGTACCCAGCGCCGGTGTAGTAGGTGAGATTCTCGCTCCAGCTCCGCCGCTGGCGCGCGGCTTCTTCTTGGAAGAGGAATTCTGGCGACGTGGGGAGGTTGTAGAGGCTCTGCGAAGGGACGCTGTAGAAATTCTGGTACGGGTGGTACTTACGGAACCTCTGATCGCCTGAATCGTCCATCGTCCTGAAGACGAAGAAGAGATTAAAGGGTTTTCTTGGCTGTGTATATTTATCGGGAAGGGGTAAGAGTAGAGACAGAGACGAAGAGAGGGTTTAAGGAGAAAAGGAGAAGGCGGAGGTTTCCCGAGTTTGTAGTGTACACTGTACAGCTCGGCTGGCTTCTTTTTCAAGCAGCTTTTGGGACGTGGAATTATTTCATTTTATGGAACAACGTGGAACTTCCCCGTGTGGAATGGGAATAGTTTTGGGGATTGCTATTCGTCAAGGTTGTCAAACCGGTTTATGTCAGTGTGCCGGTTTAGCAAGTGGAATGGTTCAACCGGCGGCACATATCGGTTTGTGCCGGTTCATGCCGGTCAATATTACAAATAAAATTATAAATACTCATATTTAAACATGACATTTAACGTGAATACCTAAACATTTATACTTGAATCCAACAAATAACATCAATATTTAACTTTTATACTCATAAAATAAATAATAAAATAAATTTTCTCAATTAAATTCTCTAAAATAAGGTCATTTTACTTAGAGATTCGTATATCGATCATGCCGGTCATACCGGTGGTGTCACGCCGGTTTTAGGACCGATACCGGTTGAACCCTAATAAATCTTTATTCGCCGCCCTAATTATGTTAATTTTACTCTATTGTCCTTAGTTATTTTTTGTCTTTTTGTCTTTCAAATACAGCGGACAGGTTTTCAACCTTGTCGTCGGAGAGCGTGGGACAGGTCGGCAACCCGTCGGCGGCGTTTATCGGGGGGAAAAAACAGCAGCGGGTCGGCGGCTGGGGGAACGGCAGCGGCAGATTGGGCAATCGACGTTTTAAGAAATCATATAGCAATGGCTATCAACGGATCATTACTAACCACCATGGAAGAACAATATTCATTCGCCGCCGCGACACCACCACACCACCGACTTACTATTCTCATCTCTCCATATAAAGTACAGAGAGCGTTGAATTACATTAAAAATAAAACCAGAGAGCAATGGCTATCGCGAAATGGACAAGCCGTCTGAGTCATCTTTATTTAATCATAATGGGGAAAGTTTCAATATTCAATTACAATAACCATATTTATAGTAAACCTATAAGAGCTATCGAGAGTAATGACTATCAACGGATCATTGCTAACCACCATGAACCTTCTTCCTCCTTCCTCAGAAACAACAGGAGGTCGGCGGAATGGGAGCTGTCGCAGGTTGGGTGAATGGCAGCGGCGACCGGTATTTGGCTTGTGGGAAAATTAGGAGTTAGGGATTGAAATTGGAAATAGGGGTATAAACGTCAATGTAGTATGATTTAGGGCGAATTTCTTTAAATTTTAGGGCGACGAATAGCAATTCAGATAGTTTTGGGTAAATTGCAAGGATGGTCACTAGAAGGAATTACAAAAAAGTTTATGTTTGGTCACTACAAATATTTAATTCCATTCGAGGTCAGAAACTTTATATTTTCGTTTCATTAATGGCTATTCTCCGTTCATTTCCATTAACTTCATCCTACGTGGCAGTCAACTCTGATAGTTTCAACTTAGAAAGTGGAAAAGAAGTGCTAGATTCAGCAAGTGCAAAACTCAAAGGAGGTGTGATTTCGAGCCACTAGGAGACCCACTGATTTTTGAACGATTAATGAAACCCATGTTTTCCGGAAGGATCGAACTACACCCCTCCCATCTAGGGATGGCAATGGGTCGGGTTTTGCCAAACCCAAACCCAAACCCATGGGTATATCCGTGAAAAAAACCCGGGGTAAAACCCACTGGGTTTGAAAAACTCAAACCCAACCCAACCTAACCCGCTGGGTATCCGCGGATTCATGGCTACCCATGGGTTTTTGTCATAAAAAATTCACAATAACAAGTTCCTATGAAAATTAAAGTCAAATATCAATCTCTCAATACAAATTATCCATATATAAAACGCCATTCTAGAAAATTCAAGCAAATCACAAATTAACTATACAATTGTTCAACACCAATCTAGAAAACTCAAGAAAATTGAATCAAATCACAAATTATCCATAAATAACGTGATTAATTGAAAGCATCTTCCTTTCAATTAAGTTTTTCACTCTCCCCTCGATAACATCAACTACTAGAAAGAAAAAATTAGACATGTCTTCACAAACATTAATAAGATTAATTGTTTAGAATATTAAATTTTCCGAGAAAATTAATTATGTGGGTGTGGGCGGGTACCCATGGGTCGGGTTTACCTAAACCCAACCCAACCCGGTGAATAGTGAACGGGTTTAAACCCAAACCCGGCCCAAAACCCGTCAACACGGATTTTACCCGCGTTGACCGGGTTGGGTCGGGTGGGTACCCATGGATTCGGGTTTTGTTGCCATTCCTACTCCCATCTCCCCTTAATTATTCCTATTTCGCTCCCCTTCCCTTATTTATTTATCTTAAACCTCCGTCGACAACGACTTCTATGACGCACTCCGCAAGAGTGACCAACGCCCCAGTGGTTGCAGCGCTGGCGACACTGGCGACGAACAAAATCAATTAGTTTGTGATAATGAGCTGGTAATTTTAAAATCTTAAATTTTTTTTTATTCATTTTTAATTGTCATGTCACATATTTAATGGTCAACTATCAGAATTGACTGCCACGTAAGACGAAGTTAATGGAAATGGACGATTAGTGACCATTTATGAAACGAGAATATAAATTTAGTGACTACGAAGAAATTAAATATTTGTAGTGACCAAACATGATCGTTTTTACTTTTTAGTATTACTAGTGACCAACCTTGCAATTTACCAAAACAGTTTTCCTCTCTTTAACTAATTCGTAGAAGCTATGGGCCAGAAAAAGTTTTGGGTATTTGCCTCAAAGCCTAGCTGATTTGGGCTTATTAGATTTCCCAAAATCTAAAAGAAGGCCCAAATTTCTCCAAACTAATTTGTCCACAGCGAAGCCCAGAACTTCTACAATGCAACCAACGGCCGCGGCAGCGGCGGTGCTACCAGTTCTCCTCCCATGGCAGCAGCGGCCAAGCTAGCTCTATCGCATTCCATAACAAAATCGCCATCACTATGTTCCTTCTCCAAATTCACCGCCGATTCCCGCGGTTTCAGTGTAAGAGCGAACGCTTGCTTGGATGCAGTCAAGCAACCGATGAGCACTGACCTGGTTTCTCTCGAGTACGCCGACCTTAACCTTCCCCCGGCGGTACCATATACTTCCCTTTTTTGCTTCCCTCCTCGTTCAAATTCAAAAGCAGCAGCGAAAAGATTGAAACTTTTTTCGATTTGCAGGACGTGGGTCATGTGAGAATCAGGCAACATGTGAACCCTTTGAGCTCCTCTTTCTCTGTAAGTTAGTTTGAATTGAACCAATTGTGCTTGCGATTATCCTTTTCCCCCCCTTTCTGTAGAACTAATTGTTATCAAGTTGGGGTAATGGCCAAAAATGTGGTAAGGCGCCGGCACCAGTGCCTGATTGGAAGGAAGTTTTCAGGGATCCAACACTTCCACTCATGGTGGACATTGGATGTGGTAAGCTATTTATTTATATGCTTGCTATGTACTCCAATATAGTGTCATGGTTATGTTTATCTGCTAGTTTCCTTTGAGCTGCTAGTTTCAGTCAATTATGCACGTGTGGAGAAGGCATTTGTAATGGGGATAGTTGCCATTTGATCGATATACAGGGAGTGGCAGATTCCTTGTATGGCTTGCCAAACGAAACCCGGATTCTGGGAACTACTTGGGCTTGGAAATACGGAAGAAAGTATGGGATGAAGCTCTTACATTATTTCCAAGTTCTTCTTGAATGTTGCAATTCCTTTTCATTCAGCTGCGTGCTAAGCTAATACTTGTTCTTACACCAATGACAGCTGGTCAAGCGAGCTGAATCGTGGGTAAAAGATCTGGCTCTTACTAATGCGTAAGCCTCTTTTCAAGCAGAACTTTCTATCCAACTATGGATTTATGTTTGTGCTTAATATGCTCATCAATGTGAGTGTTTAACTCTTGGCAGTCATTTCATATTTGCAAATGCTGCTGTGTCTTTCAGACACTTGGTTGTCTCTTATCCTGGGCCATTGACACTAGTTTCGATCTTGGTAAGCATTACCTCTTGCGTGTGTCGAACTCACTTACCCGATCAGTTTCGTGAATACTTGTTCTTTCGGGGCAACATTCCAAGGTTTATCTATAACTTTACATGTGCAGTGTCCAGATCCTCATTTCAAGAAGAGGCATCACAAGAGAAGAGTTGTGCAACAGCCATTAGTTGCTTCTATCCTTGATAGTTTAGTCCCCGGGGGAAAGGTAGAAGGCTTTATATACATAGTACGACGGGTGTCCAGTATAATCATCCTTTTCCAGTGTCCTCTGACCATAATGTCGATCTGTTGACTCACTAGGTGTTCCTGCAGTCTGACGTACTGGACGTGGCTCTCGACATGAGAAACCAGTTCGATGCAGAGTCCATCGTGATGCAGCACATCGATGAGGTTGACTCGAGCCTACCATGTGATAGGGATGGATGGCTGCTGAGCAATCCCATGGGGATACGGACTGAGAGAGAGATACATGCTGAATCTGAAGGTGGGACGATATACAGAAGGTTGTACCAAAAGAGGACAACTTAATTGTTACAATTAATAAATTGTGCAAAATGCGTGTTGTACCTGCTCCGGCTAGAGCTAAACCAAAAAAACTCCAAATGTTTCTTGGAAGCCTAGCTGATATGCTTGATGAGTTGCATGGAGCATAGTACTTCACTTGAGAGTAGGGTACTATCAGATTAGGATGAATGAAACACATATACACATACACCCTTAGCGAACTCATACTAAACATTATGAGTACCTAGTAATGCCTTTTGGGTTGTGCAACACCTCACCTAAGAGCATCAGAATTCAGAGCTTGCCCTTAGACCAATCTACTGAAAAAGGGTGGATTCATGTGGATGCTCCCGGGCAAGGCATTGCAGTTGTTTCCTTAAATTGCCACCCGGTTGCATTGATGATGAAGAGTCAAGACATTACCTCCCAGCAAGGAAGCTTAGGCCCTGTTTAGTAGAGTTTCCTTCTTGTTGTGTTGTGAGAAGGTTTTGTGAACATAGAAGCAACACAACACCAACACAACCTACACAAAAAACAAAAATAAACGGAAAAAAGACAACTGTTGTGGTTGGGGAATCTGGAAATCAAAAGCCACAGCCGCCAAGTTCGAGATGCAGAAACTTCTTCCCTATCCACTTCCTCTGACTCCGCCGAAACCCTTCCAAGACAGAGACCCACCTTTATCATCACCATCTCCACCTTCCCTCTTGACGTTGTGCGGTCATCGGCGCTATGGGGTCGTCGATGTTGGTTGGCGACGAAATTGATGAGCGGGTGGAGGAGGAAGGAAGAGGAGGGTCAGAATTAGGCGTTGGGTTCGACGGAAGCAATTGAGAAGATGGGCAAGGGAGTGGCGACGGCGGCGGAGGAAGTTATTCCGACAACTCTTGGCGATGAGGACGATTGGATTGAGAAGTGGAGGAGAAGTGGCTACGGTGGCGGGAGCCGGGAGGAGTGGTAGATGGTGGTGGTGAGCTCGTCGGTAATGGCGACGGGGACGATTGGGTTGAGAATTGGAGGTGTGGCTACGGCGGCGGGAGGAGTGGTAGATGGTGGTGAGGAGAGATGGATAAAATGGAACAAAGAAGATGAATAGTGTAGTGGCGTGAATGAAGACACTATTGGTAAAGGAAAAAAAAAGAATAAAGGAAAAAAAGGAAACGAAACACATCCAAAGCCACTTTTTGGCGTTTCTCAAATTTGTGTTCGGTTGTGGAAACGTGTTGCACAACCAAAATAGAAAACACAACTAAACATGTTTTTTTTCTTGGTTTTCACAATTCTTAAAAGCACAACAAAAAACAGAAACAAGCAACAATACTAAACGGGCCCTTAGTTTACTTGCTAGGAAGTGATGGTAGCGATTATTTTTTTTTTTTTGCATAAAGGGAGGCAAAAGCCAAGAAGAAGTTACATGGGGGGTTGAGGGGAAGAGGAGTTACATTGGCGGGGCACAATCCGCCTCTCAAACGAAACTCCTTGAATATCGTCCTGAAGACAAGTCGCTAATCCTTCCGGCGGGTGTGCGAGCTCCTGTACACCGTAGGGATAGACGAGACTGTGCTTCGAGAGCCAGTCCGCGACTCTATTCCCTTCCCGGTATACATGACCTACGCGCACCAGCCAGTCTCGGCTAAGCCTCCTGCGAATGGCAGCAAGTAAGGTGGCATAAGGGTGAACAGGGTCATGTCTATCCTCAATAAGCTTAATGGCCAATTGCGACTCAGATTCAACCACAATTTGGCGGTAGCCAGATTTCCAAGCTATATCCAAACCATGATAGAAAGCCCAAAGCTCTGCCAAGGCTGCAAAAGCTTCTCCTATCATGGCAACAAAACCGCCTATCCATCTCCCAAGCTCATCCCTCAAAACGCCTCCTGCCCCAGCAGGACCAGGGTTCCCATTAGAAGCACCGTCAATGTTAAGCTTCACCCACCCCTCAGGGGGCGGTTTCCACGAGATGTTGGCCATCACTCGGACCGCCGCAGCTCTCCTTCCATTCGGCAACAGAGAAGGCGCTCGCCAAGCCTCGCTCCACAACTTGGCTTTAGCTGCAATCGAGTGAGTCAAGGAAGGAGGAGTGAGACTGGAAGAAATACCTTTAAAACACATGTCATTCCTGTTCTTCCACAACAACCAAATAGAAATGCTGAAGAAAGAAGGCCACTGGATCCCCAAATGCTCAGCCTCCCTCGCTGCAAGGTTCATCCGCAACCAGTCCGCCGTGTTCGCCGAGAAGAAAGTATGTTGTTTTTCACTTGGCACTTGCCTAACCCAGAAGTATGCAGCCGGGGGGCAGTCCCGGAGGATGTGCAGAATAGTTTCAGCCTGCCCGATACATCTCCCACAGTCCGCCGAATCAGAGATCTTTCTGGAGTGCCGGAGGGCATTGGTAGCAATTCTGCCAAGGCTCACAAGCCAAACGAAACAACGGACCCTCTCCGGAACTGGGAGGCTCCAAATAATCTTCCAAAACTTGGCATCCGGATCGTTTCCTTCTGGCAAAAGGGACTGGTAAGCAGTCTTCGTGGTGAAGCGACCGTTCGAAGACAGAGCCCAGAAGAGGGTGTCCTCCTCGTTGGAAAGCTTATCCACTGCCACGCTAGTAATCTTCATATGGATATCCAGTGGTAAAAGGCCCTCGAGTAGCTCTGTGCGCCACTCGCCATCATCAGAGATCAACTCCGCCACTGTCTCATCCCTTCGCGAGTTGGGGATCTCCTCCTCCGCTAGATTTAAGAGGGGTTCCTGCACAATCCAAGGGTCATGCCAAAACTTAGTAGTTTTTCCATTCTTAATATTCCACGCACAACCTCCCTTTAGGAGGGTAGAAGCCTTATTAAGACTTCTCCAGGTAAAGGAACTTCCCTGAATAGGACGAAAAATATCAAAGTTCTCCTTGTCCCGACCATACTTATCCCTGATCACCTGGGTCCACAGAGCATCTTTCTCTTTGAGGAGTCTCCATCCACTTTTGGCGAGCATGGCCAGGTTGGCATTCCTTACCGAACGGAGGCCGGCCCCCCTTGGTCCTTTGGCAAGATCATCTTTTCCCAACCAACTAAATGGAGCTTGTATTTCCCATCCTCCTCACCCCACACAAAATCCCTGTTAATACGATCAATAGAGGCGCAAACTCCTTTAGGCAGTAACTCTGTATGCATATGATAAATGGGAAGAGAGGAAATAATAGACCTGGATACAGTGAGGCGAGCTGCCAAGGACAGGCGTTTTGCTTTCCACGGAGCTAACTTCTCCTGAATGCGCAGAAGAAGGCTATGATATCTCCCTGCCGTCACTCGACCATGAAGACCGTGTATGCCAAGATATCTTCCCAGCTCCCTCTTCAGGGGAATCTCCGCTCTGGCGCTCAGAGTGCTAGCCTTCGATCTATCCACATTTGGGGACACAAAAAGCAATGATTTGGCGTAGTTGACTCGCTGCCCGGAGCTGGAGCAGAAGTCGTCGAGGCGCTGCTTGATGATCCTGATCTGTCTCGTTTCTGCTTCTGCGAAGAGCAAGAGGTCATCTGCAAAGAAAAGATGGGTGAGAGGCGGTCCATTCTTAGTGAGCCTAATGGGCTTCCATTGACCACTATGAAGGACCGCGTCGATCCTGTGAGATAAACGCTCCATGCATAAGACAAAAAGATAAGGCGAAAGAGGATCTCCCTGGCGAACTCCACGAGTGGGGGTGATGGATGGGGAGAGGTTACCATTCCAAAGAACCCGCATATTGTTCTGCTCCACGCAATACATGATACAACTGATCCAAGAGCTTGGAAGACCCACTTCTTTCAGGGTATCACGAAGGAAATCCCACCGCAACATGTCATAGGCCTTCTCGAGATCAATCTTAAGAATCATGCCTCCTTTCTTCCCTTTTCGCTTTCCCAGAGAGTGGAGCACTTCCTGCACTACCATGACATTGTCTGTAGTCTGGCGGCCAGGAATGAAGCTGCTCTGCCGAGGAGAAATGAGTTTCCTCATGATCGGCTTCAACCTGCTAGTGATCGCTTTTGTAATAGCCTTGAGGCTTACGTTGTTGAGTGAGATGGGTCGTAGTTGGGTCACCAGTTCGGGGTGATCGACTTTGGGAATGAGCACGACCGTAGACTCTGAGACCTCGTCAGGCAGAGACCCCGTGTTGAAGAAAGCCAAGGCCATATCTGTTAAAGACTTCTCTACCACGTTCCATGCTTGTTGATAAAAGGCCGCATGAAACCCACGCTCCTGCCTGGAAACGGCTTCATCTCGAAGATAGCTTTGTGAATGTCCATAATGGTGAAAGGCCTTAGAAGCGCAAGGAGATCCTCCTGAGCAAGCCTGGGAAAAGCATTCTTTGGCATTCTGTCCTCATAAGCCGAGTTGTCCTGCAAATAGAGGTTAGTATAGAAATTGAACACCATATCTGCCAGCTCCTGGGGGTCATCGATCCACGCTCCTGCCTGGTCCCGAAGGGCGGTGATCCTGTTCTTGCGTCTCCTGATATTCGCTTGCTGGTGAAAATAGCTGGTATTGCGCTCCCCAAACTTAACCCAGTGCTCTCTCGATCGTTGATACCATATCAGCTCCTCCTGCTCAAGAACAGTATCTAGATCGGCCTCCAGCTTGGAATGCAACTTGGCCAGACCAGGGGAGAAGCTCTGTGAGAGGCGCCTTTCAACTCCTTGGATCCGCCCTAGAAGCCGCCTCTTCCTCTGTTGCACATTCCCGAAAACCTCCCTATTCCAGTCTTGCAGAGCAGTGCTTAGGGACTGCAAAGCGATCGGCAAAGGTCTGGTAGGGTCCCAAACACCTGCAATGGTATCCAAAAAGTCCTTGTGAGTAAGCCAAGCTGCTTCAAATTTGAAAGTACGAGGAGGGTGAAGAGATTGCCCCTGAGAAGCAAAGGAGGTAAGGATGGGGTTATGATCGGATATGAGACATGGCAAATGGCGGACAACAGTATTTGGGAAGACCGAATTCCACGAAGTATTGCACAAGCTCCTGTCAATCCTGCTGTCCTTGTAAGTATCAGAGTTCTCCCCCCTAGTCCAGGTGAAATTTGGGCCAGAGTAGCCGAGATCCACCAAGTCAGCCCCATTAATCCTGTCGTTGAAGAGGTGACATCTCCGAAGGGTCGCCATAGAGGCAGTCCCAGACTTTTCAGACGGTGATCTGATGGCGTTGAAATCCCCAGTAAGAATCCAAGGCACGCTGATCACTTTGCTCTGAGCAGTAAGACGATCCCAAAGAGGTTGTTGC